CCACTTTCACAATCCTCGGGCCACATCCTTTGTAGTTTGGCTATTGGCGCAGCCTCAACAGTGATTGTGCTATGACGTTTTCCATAAAGAGGGTCTCGCGGATGAACCACCATTGTTCCTGGTGGTGTGGCCGCTTCGCGCTCATCATGACTTCCAGCCTCGGGAACACCGTGTAAAAGGGTGGTGCTGACTACGGATTCCTTCCGATTTTCGTCCAACTAGTGCCTCGTCTGTCTGCGCTCGCTCCACGGAATATCCGGGAATAGGCGGATGGAACATGACCCAATTTGGAGGCCAGCTGTCGGTAACAGGACAGCTTCTGCTTCATTGGCAGAAGTGAGCACAGCTCGGAGAAGTCTTGGTTCTCCGTAGTGCACTGAGTTTGGATGGCGGATAAAGCGTGTCAAATTCACGGGCTTAGTTACAACACCTATAGTGTCAAATAAGGAGTTCCACTGGTTCACGACAGCGAGTTGTTTTCCTTTTACGAAATTTGACGTCGATTCTGGAACGCTGGCGCAGATTACCGCTGGTAGGGTACGTGCAACTGTGGTTGATGTCAAACGAGCAGCTGGTCTGTATACAGTCGATGGAGGCTCTGTTGGTACAGCTTCATCTTCTTCATTTACTATGCGTCCAGTGGAAGTGGCCGAAGATCTAGGTTTTCGGTCACCTTTGACAGCAACCAAGTTGCAACCACCACTGCTGTTGAAGTTCTTCTGAATTTTCGGACCCGTTCGGAGGGTGGACGAGGCTCTGACCGTGTTCATTGCAATCGGACTGGCGGTGGTTGTTCCAAGCATATTTGAGCAACTGGTAGTATTGGCGTTTCGTGCCACAGATGATGCATTTTTAGTGCGCTGCCCAGTCATGTTTCTCCGTTTTAATGCGGGGCCTGATGGGAATGACCGGAATGTACTCTCTGTCACGCTTTCTACAAATGAATCGCTTTTGATGCTCCTCGTTTGTTCAAACATTGCCACTAGTCTTTCGAACTTTGCGATAATTCGTGTACAATTTTCTCAAAAGAGCGACGACGGTAGGTTGCATGAGGAATTTGCGGGACGCGTACATGTAGTCCATGTACACGTCTAACATCGTTACAAAAGTGGTGTTCACACTATAACCGTGTTAAATTACGCAGGCAACCGCTGTCGAAGGCCGAAATCAGACACACAACATTTACGTGACTCGGTCAGTACTTACGTCCATACTTCAGAGCCGAAAACGAGCCACAACTTTGCGACAATTAGAGATTTAGACATAAGAAGGAGGCTTGCGAAGAGATATCTCTTTTCGATAACTCTCGTCATATATTTAGATTTATAAAGAAGACCAAGCAAACAGGGAAGCTAACTAGAGCTCCAGTGATGGTGTTCAGATGCCAATTCAAATAGGGTCAGTGAAGCCAATCGATAGTTATGTCAATGAATTCAGGTGGTAGAAGTAAAGACATCGGGTCTCGCGCATACAACTAGACAAACAGCGAAAGCAAGAACGCAGTGGCTGATGTGGAACAAAACTCAGTTGGGTTGGGGGTTCTCTCAGATACGGACAGAATCTTGGTCACGGCCAGGGCAAAATGAGAGCTTGTATTAGCGTCCTTTACTTGTGTAACTCAGGTTGTAATAGCCTAATCGCCATTGCTTCGGTAGTGGCCAGTAGGCCTTTCCTGAGTCCTTTAGGAACGCGTCTCGATGCAGTGTAGACCACCTTGAATCCGTCTTCTTTCCGCATTTGATGACCAGTAGTAATCAGATGCTCGAGGATCGCGCTGTGGACATTCTTATCCCTGCCATGTTGTAGAGAGGCAGGATAGTGTCCTGCTATCCTCATATGTGCGTGGTACCTTGCACCACAGCTGCAGGTGAATTGATATAACACAAATGCATCGGAACGAGCCAGGACTCTGTCTTAGAGGCTTTTGGTGATGAGCGGAACTGTCCTGGCGAGAACGTGTACTCTAGCAGCTGGATTTGTTTGGCTAATTGCTGTCGACTGTATTTCGTTCAGTAACTCGTAGGGTATATCCCCTTTGAAAGGAACTCACAGGAAAACGTCCTTTTTCTTTACAGTTGGTATTGTTTTAGGGTGATCACAAATAGCAGAATGTCTTTTGATAAACGAAGCGGGATACCCATTGGCTTGTAGGGTCGCGTGAATGAAATCCTTCTCAGCGTCTAACGTTTCTGGTCTGTAGATTTTTGCAGAGCGATAGTACAAACAATGCACGAGATTTCGCTTGTATTTCATTGGCACATAACTAAGAAAGGACGTATACTGGCCAACCCATGTCGTCTTCCGAAAGACGCTCCTCTCAAGCGACCCATCAGCTCGCCGCCGTAATGACACGTCCATAAACGGGATTTCCCATCTTTTGCTACCTCACAAGTGTATTTTAATGATGAATGTGCACTGTTAAAATGGTCAAGTATCTGCAGGTGGTCATTTTGAGAGTCGCAAATGATGGATTATTGTCCATATACCGTCAATAGGAATGAAGAGACGCGATAAGGCTCCGTAGTGCACCGCGCTCAATTTTCGCAGGAAGGAAATCAACAAGGATTGCTCCTAAAGGGGACCCGTTGCAACTCCATCTATTTGGCAAAATACCTTCCATCGAACAAGAATTGTTTGTCGAATGTGCAGCGCAGAAGTAGCTCTTTCACTCCTTGGATAGGAATACCAATAGCAGTCTTGCTATCGGCTAGGCACTCGCAAATGAAATTGATAGTCTCCAGCAAAGGAGCGGTCGTAAAAAGTGCCTCCAGGTCAAATGAAAGCATCACTTTGTTCTTCACATTCAGGTTTTCGTATCTGTTTTACGAAATCAGACGTTTCACTTACAGTTTGGACTGATATCTCTTTGCGTACTGGTTCGAGTAATTCAACAAGCCACTTAGCAACTGAGTGCACGGCTGAGCCAGACATGTCGATGATCGGGCGCATTGGTACGTTGGGCTTATGCACTTTCGGTAGTCCGTAGAGTCGAGGTGGATGCGAACCACACGGAGTTAGATGTTCGAGTAAACGGTCATCAATATAGTTTTGGCGCTTTAATTTCTTCAGCACTTAAGTGAGTTTAATTGCATCATTCGCGCTGGCATCCTTCTGTGTTTGATCACACATGAATTTGGTCGTGCCCTGAAGAATAGTGTGCATCTTTAGCACGTATTCGGGTTTGTTCATCAATACCCAACCCAATCCTGTATTTGGCCGGGAGAGAATACCGTCCGAGTAAGATGTTATCTATTTTACAGCTTTCCGGTGTTCATTGGTGACCAATCTAGAGGGTTGTGGCTTTTTGACTTAAATAATGGTGAGAAAGGTGCACCAAAATACTCTTGTAAATGTCTTTGGTGGAGTGGAAGGTAGGGGTTAAATCAGTCAGTTGTTGCATTACACTTTCGAATTGTGTTTGTACATGAATCGGCCCATTACATAGACAGCAAAAACAGAATATTGGCCCCAGCGAGAGAGCTACCAATTGTCACTTGTTCAACTATGTTAGCAGTGTTGTTTACATATCTCTCTGGATGTAGTGGAAATTTCGATTCAAGTATGTTTGGTTCCAGACTTTTAAGCAGCATCGTGTACTTTCTATTCGCGGCTTTCTTATATAGCTCATGTGTTTGACTTTCAAACGAAGTACGATCAGCTGACTTTAGCTCATCCAGGGATAATTGATAGGGCGAACAAAGTCGTTCTAACTTAGGAACTCGAGAATGAGCAACTTCCAGAAGGTTTGTAGCATGCCGTCTCTGATTTTGTAATTGGTCGCACGTGACAGCGCCTCAGTGCCATCCGATACGTCTTGGGATATTGGTTGTTTTGTATACGTTCCTTTATGGATCGTATCTCAGTCATCGCATTTGCAAGCCTGGCGCTAAACTTCAAACCTTGTTGAAGATAGAAAACGCGGCGGGCTGCTTACGTTTCTTTACTTGTGTATTACGACCAGTTTAGACATAAGGAGACTTGCGATGAGATATCTCTTTTCGATAATTCTCGTCAAGCATTTAGAATTATAAAGAAGATTAAGCAAACGGGGAAGATAACTAGAGCTCGAGTGATAGTGTTTATATTGCGATTTAAATAGGGTCAGTGAAGCCAATCGATAGTTATGTCAATGAAGTTAGGTGGTAGAATTAACGACATCACGGCTCGCGTCCCTGGATTCTCTCTTTCGCTGTTTGTCTAGTTGTATGCGCGAGACCCGATGTCGTAATTTCTATCATCTGAGTTCATTGAAATAACTATCGATTTTCCTCACTGACCCTATTTAAATTACCATCTAAACACCATCACTCGAGATCTAGATGGCTTCCCCGTTTGCTTAATCTTCTTCATAAATCTAAATGACTGACGAGCGTTATAGAAAAGAGATATCTCTTCGCAAGTCACTTTATGGCTAAACGGGACATATTACACGTTTAAATGCATTTGTTTAAATGTCTTAGTGAGTAGGAAAAGACAAAGTGGAAAACCAAAACAATCTTTTGGTGACAACACAAATATGCGCAGTAGCACTGGAACAGTGTAAATTCATGCAACGTTATAATTGGTAAACTTACCCGTACTATAGATCTAAATATCAATGGTTAGTATTACTATAAAAATCTTGCACGAAAGGACTCACTTCGCGGTTATTAATAGCACACGACACAAATACGGTAAATTAGAGGAGTTATCCTGAACAAGAAAACCATCACATTCAGTGTTAGGCAACACTGTTTTTCATGCTTTTATACTCTAAGATTGTCTATTGGATTTTACCACATGTGATTTCTGATCTCCTGATGTATTTCCGTCCGTCATGCGACACGTTGCTTTGCGCCGTTGTTAACTAACCTCTGTGTTTTATACATTAGCTTTTAGTAAATATTCTGCTCAGAATTTCGGTATCATGTTACACACCCTAACAACCAACACGTTTCATACGCGTCACCACTAGTTGGTATACTGTACGCCCTACATATCCAACTAAACGAAATGGAGAGTTAAAATTTAATAAAACAACTCGGTATGGACGAAGTGATACTAAACACAACTGACTCACCGGCTTCGCCCCTTTCGGAATCTCTAGGTGATTCAGACTTGACGGCGGTCTCAACATCTGAAATCGAGAACATTATTCAACGTGACTGTCCTAATTTGGTGTTAGGGCCAGAGGGAGGCATCAAGTACACTACGGTGTTGGTCATTGTTGTGTTCTGCACTTGCCTAATAGAGATTCACCAAGAACTCGACAAATTAGATGTGCTACATGATCCGCGTAGGAACTTCTTCAACACGATGTGCACATCCGTGTCCAAGACCCACTCGTCCGTGAACGAGTCAGAATATCAAGATGAATCGATTGTTGTTTCCACTTGTGACATAATCTTAAAGGTGTTAACATAAGCAACAATTGTTTTCTAATCATTCAGGCTCTATCACTTAGTCACATTAGGTTCCATTCAGTTAGCCTTCAACAGTTTAGCCCATAAGCACAAGTGATCCGGCCGCCATGATCCATGATTTAATCTCACGAATCGAGATAGGCATCATGGAGAAAGGCCGAAAAAAGACAAAACGTTGGCCAAACTCAGAGACCTACCTAAAACAGGTAGTGCGGTGAAGCTGAAACACCTATTAATTTAATGTTTTGCAACCATGTGTTTTATGGGTTGCTCAAATTTTCGACCTCCCATGTTATTAACTGGTGGTCAATGCCCGCCACTTGCATCTGGTCGGTGAGTCACACGTCATATTACACGGTGCCCTAGCTAATTCCCTCTCAAATCAATGTAGCTTTTGTAATAGACCTTGGGTTTAGCTGTTTCAATCTTCTCCGTCATTCCGTATTGGGCACGTTACCTGCAGGTCATGTTGCTCGCCTAGCATTCGAGTTAAATCATACAATGGGAATGAAAACATACAATATTTGGGTGACAAACTTAAATAATAGGATTGACGGCTCTAATCAACAGACCTATCATCTGCTCTATTGCAACATACAGGGAGTATCCCCTAGCCACGGACTTCCACTTTCCAAATGTTTCAATCCAGTGAGACGGCAGTCAGTTCAGTTTGGATTTGACCGAATTTCCAATGCCTTCCACCGTTTTATCAGCTAGTTACTTAGTATTGTCACAATCTTGCCACTCAAAAACGGTCGCATGTTAATGCGCGGTTTCCTCTCACAGATTTGACCCGCTCTAGCTTCACACAGCGCAGTCATCACACACCTAAAGGAAATAAGTTGACCGCCTTTATTCAGTGGGCACTTTGCAAGGAATGCGTTTCCTACGGATGCTGATACGTGCAACCCAAGCGCTTTTAACACACCACGAGCCTAAAATAAAGCATGAAATTCTGTTGTCTTTTAACAACATTCACAGTTGCGACTTTACCTTCGATAAAGGAATCCTGCCCTGTGCGACGTGATTTCAGATTTGCTCTTGCAGGACTAATTCTGGATAAGCTAAAACTCAATCTGCGGATCCTGATTACCTTCGCCCATTGCTGACATTCGGCCACTGAAATCAGCGCGGTAAAAGCCAAGTATAAAGGCTTAATCCCACACGAACCGGCGTTGATCGATAAAGCAGCCAAAACGCGTGTGTATGTGCATTAATCTGGTGAAACTCCGTCCACGATAACCGAGGACAAGCCCGAGACTGTGACAACGAGCTTGAGGAGCACGTATCCTCAATCTCACAATACCGGACAGGTGCGGTGTTCACTTGCAAGAACAGCTGTCGCTGAACACAATTCCACTTAGCGGTAAATGTGGTGAATAGAAATGCGTCCGGCTTGTGAGGACAGAACTTGCCTTCTCTAACTGTGCCAGTGCATTCAATGCTGACTGCACTGGCGTAAGCCCACTACAGGCAAGAAAGGACAACAATGTGACTGATGTACTCTGGTTTTGCCCGGTATGCAGAGCCATTCCAATGGTCGATTATATGTTTTTGAACATGAAAAAGTGCGAACGACTGACTGAGAAGTTTGAACAGATGGCGAGTTTTGTGGTTTTGCCATTGGAATCGAACAAAGCCGATCTTGTTCACCAGCAAACCCTTCTAAGTTCTGTCCCTAGGTCAAAGAGTCATACCAGTCTTAATATCTGCCTCACCTTATCTGCACCACTTACTCAGACAATTCCTACAGTTAACCAGGCAAGCCATCTTCGACGTAACTGCTTTTATACCATTCCTGGAAGGTCTGCCTAACGGTTCGGACGCGAGACGAGCACATCAGAGCCAGCAGCAATGCAGTACAACCAAATACCAGGCAACGTACGTCTCGGTCGCCATGACAAAAGCACCGGGAGCGTCACGCGTAGGCCCATTTTCGTTTCCGAGCACAAGCGGTGCGATGCAGCTTTCACGAGCTTCCCTAGTTATGTTTGCTAAACAATGCAAATCGCCAGCAACAATTCTCAAGCTGGCATTCGCTAGACGGAACCACAGTACGTTAATTCACGTGTGCATTAACATACCTTTGTCCAACTGTAGCACAGTAAAGGGCAAGTTGCTGGAGGATCATAACCAGTCACAGTTCACGTGCGATGCGAATGATATTCACGTTAAGATCCCTATTCTGAGACGCATAGCGCATCATCAGACTTTAGTGTACGATGGTGAAACGAAGTATTGAGTAACGCTGAACTCAGCTGAGAAGTCAAATGCCGTCCTGCTCTCAGCGGTTTGTCTTCGCGGTTAATCTGATGGAGTGCGCATACTACCAGACCTAAATTGGAAAGGTCACAGAAATAAAACGGACGACAAAGGTGGCACTACAAAAACAACAGCAAAAAAGCCAATATTTGTTCGCGATGTTCACGAGGTCCAGTATTGTTCGGGTCAAGAAGCGCAAACACCTGCTCGAGAGCAGTGATGCCAACTCAACAAAACACTATCTCTGTACCATGATATCGCTAAATCGTTGATAAGAATTGTTTCATCGCCTGACTATAAAGACTGCGGTCCAAGATTCACAGACGTGGTGCTAGGCTCAAAAGAAATGACTGAACTACTATGGGATAACTGTCGGAAGTACTGTACCAGGTTATCAACAGAAATCCGGTTACAGGCATCAGGCACAGAAACTAAAACTAAGATCTGTGTCTGCGAAGAGACAGACACAATAACACTCGCCGCCCCTGGGAGGAAAGAAGAGAGAAGATTGCAGTCTGGAGCATTCTGTGCGGCCATGCGGCTCGAATGCAATGCAACGATTTGTCAAAGCAAATTGCAGGTGGCCACCAAACGGAAGGTTTAAAACCAGACCTGAGTTTAACTTCTAACAAGGAAATTCTAACGTCCAACAATCAAACCAGCTTTAAAACCGACGCAAAACCTATTATTAGTACTCCGACCGAATTAAGAGATCACCACACCTAACAGACACTGCATCACCACATAATTACAAAGATATGGTTAAAGTTAACTAATGCATAGGAAAATACCAACTGTTAGGAAGAGTAAACTTAAAAGCGTATCAGGGTAAATATAGTATACAAAACCAAACCTTGGTATAAAGTTAATGATCACCTAGAAATCCGCGCCGCAAGCTGCTTTCCTGTCAGGCATGGCAGAAAAACCAGGTCACTTGAACAATGAACAATGATTTATAACGGGTAAAAGAGCAGGTGCTTGACAGGTTCCGTAGGGTGTTTAAAGTAAAAAGAGATAGATCAAGGGATAATGGAGTCGTTAGTTCGGAGGATCACAGGTTTAAGTGCGCTGCCGTATAAAGGGAGTTTGAAATGAGAATGTACGCACACAAAGCAATAGGGGAGTGATTATTGATCACGTAATAGGCGGGAGAAACATAAAAGGATAGCAAGGACAACGTTTACTCGTGTGCAACTGTCTTGGGTCGACAGGATACAGAAATCCAGTTTCTATAGTAGTAGCATTTATCAAATTTCGTGCAAGGGGTTTGGAGTGATCATTATCGAGTAGGGCTATGGCGCTATCCACTGTCTGATGTGCATTAGTGCTAGCATCTGGTGGTCATGGGCTATAACTTGTAGGGAAAATGCGACAGAATATCTTCAAGAAGTTTTTTGTAAAGGGATAGGGTTGGTGCATTAATTACATGTTCTGGGAGGGCGTTCCAAGGCTGTGACACTCGAAGTGAGAAATAGTTTCGTCGACATTCCAGGCTGCTGTACTGCGTAACCAACTTAATCTGATGACCTCTTAGCGGGGTGTTTTGGCTGAGTATTAGAACAGAATGGCATGGGCGGTTGGGGTTTATCAGAATCAGGTACATGATTATGAGATCGCCTCTTAGACGCCGATAACGTCCACTGTATATTTTGAGGGTCTTCAGCCTGGGTGGGTAGGGGAGGCCGGTCAAACCTCTGACGCTCTTCGTTGCCCTACGTTGTGCAGTATCGAGCGCGGTGAGACGGTGTTTGAGCCAGGGTTGCCACGCTTGAATAGCGTATTCCGAGTGTCTGTCGCCACGAGACTGGACCTTAACGTGGTGTCACGGTTTGTGTACCTCATTGGCCCATTGACCTATACAGGGTGATGCCTCCGGGCACCTTGAATACTACTCCTCCAGTTGGGTCCATGTTGAGAGGTCAGACAAACTCAGTCTCCTTTTCCTCCAGGTTGAGGTTTGAAATGGAATGGCGTCCCGTTTCTTTAAAACTAAATAATTGCCACCTCCCCGCTGCCTTGTGGACAGGCTTTTGAGCCAAAGGCTTTGGTTGAGGACCCTAATCATCCTCCTGTCTAGGTCTGGGCGCCCTGACGGTATCTCAGCCCACATACAACCATAACATTTTCCTCACACATAAAATTCATCCTACATCGGCCGTCGCGCAGATTATCACGGGTCGCCTTATCTGTTGCATACAGCAAGGCGGATAAGCGAAAACATGCTAATTCTGGCGCCTCCCTTCTTTCTTTTCCACCTTTTACTCTTGCTCCCATCCCGACCCCCATTAATAACCTTCCTTCTATAATTCCCAGCCTTATTGACAACAACTGAAGTGCCACTGGAGTAGAACAATCTGCTGCCACCATCCCACCGCATCTACCGGACGCCTATCGGCAAAAGTCCCTTATATGGCTACGCTATCCCGTTTCCATGGCGACATACAACGTTCGC